AATAAGTTGAAAAGGATTGGTCCCAGGACTGACCCTTGGGGTACACCACTAGTTACCCCTCTCCACTGAGGTGGGGGTCTCAGGAGATGGGCAGTGCTAATGTGGGGGGCTCACACTGAGGGGATGTGAAGTGCTGTGGTGGAGGGTTAGGCGGAGCTGGGGGAAAGAGCTGAGGTGGGGAGCTCAGGCTGAGGAAAGGGGCAGCACAAGGGGCTCAGGCTGAGCTGGAGAGAAGCAATGAGAGGAGGAGCTCAGGCTGATGTGGTGAGAAGAGGCGGGAGGGGTCAGACTCAGATGGTGGACAGAGCTGAGGAGGAGGTGGGGGAAAGCATTGAGGGACAGGGCATGAGCCTAAGATGGCAGAAAAGATGAGGTAAGGGGTAAGGCTGAGGTGGCAGGAAGAGCTGAGGAGAGGGGCTCAGGATGAGGGGGCAGGAAACACAGAGGTGGGGGGCTCAAGCTCACGAGGTGGTGTGGAGGACCAGCTGATAATACAGGGAAGCTCAGATGAGAGGAGAAGTCCTATAAGACAGGGTAAGAGAAGTGGGAGCTCAAGTGACAGATGAGAGATGGGAATAAGGCAGAGAAAGGGTTCTGAACTATGGTGGGCTGAGGCTGAGGTGGTGAGCAGCAGGACACTCAGACTGTGTCTAGACTGGCAAGTTTTTCTCAAAAACAGCTGCTTTTGCGGAAAAACTTGCCAGCTGTCTACACTGGCCGCTTGAATTTACGCAAGAACACTGACGATCTCATGTAAGAAATCAATGTTTCTTGCAGAAATACTATGCTGCTCACATTCAGGCAAAAGTCCTTTTGTGCAAAAGCTTTTGCGCAAAAGGACCAGCGTAGACAGGTCAGATTTGTTTTCCGCAAAAAAGCCCCAATAGCGAAAATGGCGATCGGGGCTTTTTGCACAAAAGTGCATCTAGATTGGCACGGACACTTTTCCGCAAAAAGTGCTTTTGAAGAAAAGCGTCCCTGCCAATCTAGATGCTCTTTTCTGCAAATGCTTTTAACGGAAAACTTTTCCTTTAAAAGCATTTGCGTAAAATCATGCCAGTCTAGACGTAGCCTCAGTGTAAGGCGAGAAATGAGTGGTGTAGGGCTCAGGAAAGTACTGATTGGTATGAGAGACAGGACTGAAGCAGGAAGCAGGGAGGCTTAGGCTGAGATGGGTACCAAGCAGTGTGGTATTCAGGCTGAGGCAGGTGGGCTCAGGTTGAAATTGCAGGATACACTGAAGTGGAAAATGCTGCGACAGGAGGACTCAGGCTGAGGGTAAAGACAAGAGATGGGACAAGGCTGAGGCATGAAGAGCAGGCACAGCGTTTTGAGGGGTGCACGACATGGGCTGGAGTATCAGGAAGCAGTGAGGTGTAAAGAAGAAATGAGGAGGGATTGGAGGTTGAGGAGGGGAGAAGCCCTGACCCAGGAGTCTCAGGCTGAGGGGGCAGGAAGCACTGACGCAAGGCGAACACAGGCGGAGGTGGGGGGAAGCACTAAGGGAGAGGGGCTGAGCCTAAGGTGGCAGGATAGCTGAAGTAAAGGGTAGGGCTGAGATGGCAGAAAGAGTGAGGAGAAGGGGTCAGGATGAGGGGACAGGAAACACTGAGGTGGGGGGGCTCAAGAGTTGGTGTGGAGGCTCAGGCAGGAAATGGGGACGGTTAGACTAAGGTGGAGTAGTTAGTCCTGAGGATTTCAAGAGAATGCAGGCATCCTCAGGCTGAGGTGGGAGGGTGGTAAGTGGTGAGGAGAGGGGAAGAGCCGAGGCAGATAAGCTCAGCGTGATGTGGTGGGAAACACTGGCGGGGAAGAGGGGGCTCAAGCTGAGGTAGAGGGAAGAGCTAAGGGAGAGGGGCTGAGCCTGAAGTGGCAGAAAGCTGAGGTAAGGGGTAAGGTTGAAGAGGCAGGAAGGCCTGAAGAGAGGGGCTCAGGCTGATGAGGCAGGATGCACTGAACATAAGAACATAAGAACGGCCGTACTGGGTCAGACCAAAGGTCCATCTAGCCCAGTATCCTGTCTACCGACCGTGGCCAGCAACAGGTGCCCCAGAGAGGGGGGACCGAAGACAATGATCAAGCGATTTGTCTCCCGCCAT